ACTTTAAATATATATTCTATTCTATTCGGAGTTATAATAAAGAATTATTATTATTAAAAACTAGCAACTTACTCTGGCTTCGCTTAGATTCCTTCCTAGGTAGGTACGTTTTAATTTTTGGAGCGGAACCCTAATCCTCTTTTTTAAATAAAAGTAGCCTAAGTTACTTCTTATAACATCAGCTATCTGCGAGTGAAGAGTCCAGCCGTTTCGGAACAAACAAACAGAAAGGCAGACAAAGAGATACAAATTTTAAAAACTTTGTTTTTCTTATAAGTACCTTATATAATTTTATATGTATTTAGTAGAAATCTGTTATTTTGACATTACAAACAGAGACTTCAATTTTATTTACCTGTATAGATTAATCAATATACCTATGTATAAAAATTCTTAATATTTTAAAGAATTTAGATCGGTTAACGTGTTAATACGACAGGTGGATTTCACGTTAATGCGATAAACCTTCGTTGTTACATTGTACCACCGCAATACGCGAAGTTCTGATGTAAAATATATATTGGATTTACATTTAATTGAATAAAAAAAAACCAATTTGACCCGCATACGCTTTTGCTCGTACTGAGATTACCGAGTTATGAAAATGAAAATGTTTTGTTTCGCGATATAATGTAATATCGTGAATAATTAATTGAAAGTAGTATAAATTGTTAAATTCTGTTTGCACGTGACATAAAATAATAATAGCCCGTTCTTTATCATATTGGAAATTACCCGTACCATACTAATTATAAATTGAAAATCATATAAAATACATATAATAAAACTGTAGAGGTCGAATGTCTATACTAATGTCTATACTAATATTATAAAGAGGTAAAGTTTGTGAGTTTGTGACGTTGTAGGAGGTAATCTCTGGATCTACTGAACCGATTTAGATGAAATTTAGTACGAAGATAGTTTGGGACCCTAGGAAAGACATAGGATACTTTTTATCCCGGAAATCATCCTTTATGAGGGTGAAAATGGGATAAAAGTTTGTATGAGAAATCAAGCTAGGGACGAACCCGAGCGAGGTGAGTCGCTAGTAACTAATAAATCTAAGTTCTTGCTTGAACGTGCGAATAAAAACAAGTTGACGACACTAAAAGAGCAAAAGCCTCCGAAAAAATAAAAAACATAAAAATTGAATATGCATATCTATTAGTATTTTAAATATATACACATATACATACAAATTGATAAAAGTTGTGGCTACGAGATACTATTTTATATTATCTATGTTCCTACTTCCTACCACAAAAGGGCGATTTCATAAAGCATTTAGCGAGGCTCACAACTTCTGAACGCATTTCAATGAGTTATTCGGCTCGTAAAGTAGAGTTTAAAATATAACGTCTTATTGTTATGCGAATAAGGATGGTTTTCAATTCGTCCTATCTGGTTTTCATCCCTTCGGATTATGGGACTGAAACCAGTTTCAAATTTTATTTATAAAGCTACCTGGTACAGGTGTCTCGGGCGATGCACGTCCTTCAGCCTTTGCTTGCATATTTTTTATGCTAATAGGTCATGATTTTCGGCCTAAATTTGGTAAAGCATGCCTTACAGATATTTTATACAGTTTATATTATCGACGACGTGAATTGACAACATATTTTCCTTGTGTTGTTTAATTTTATTGAGGCAAGAAGTCCACAAGATTGGTAATATACTAACAGATCAGACGCCACTCTTATTTTTTTCTGTAATCAAGATTATTTTTTCATTAGGTATTATTACTATAACTTGAAATGACATAATAATTATTTACATTTAAAGAAGAAAGTACATCGACTTCAAAATCACTTAAGAGTAGTTATTATTGTACCCCACAACTTCTTTTTAGGGTTTTTTTGATCCGTACATGGACTTTGAGGTATGATGATCTACAATTATGAAAATCAATCAATTATGAAATCTGCAATTGGCAAAGACAGAGTAACTGTATGGTATCCATAAAAATACTGGCGAATCACGGATCACTTTTATAAAGCAAAAGCTTTTTTTACAGGCAGAATGTGCGATAAGAAAGTTGGACATTTCATGGATAAATTGACATTTCATTTACTGGTCGAGTTGTAAGCATTACTCGTAGCTAGTCGCTTTTTATATGTAACGTTGAGTGACAGACAGACGGATGTGTGGTTGCGGCGAACGTCAAGGCAAAAGCCCGGAATAGTTTTCGGTTAGGATAAAACGGGCCGACATCAGAACTAACAAATTTGTAACATACCGACAAAAAAGAATCTGCATTCGAAAATTGCACAAACATTTCGGCGAAAAGTTAGTCGCCAGAAAAACTACGACGAACTCGAGATCAACTCACGTCATGCGATAAAGAAAGTTGTTGAAGTAAACTGAAAATACATTTTTGTTTTCAAAGTGCCTACACACCGGCATACTCGTAGTTATAAAAAAAAATGTTACCAACTTTAATCACAATGAAATTGCGTAAGCTTTAATTCAATGAATATCTTTGCGTGATTTTAACATTAAGTAATAATGCAACTAAAACTTTTACAGCGAAAATTAAAATTAGTGGTTTGAAACCGGTTCAAAAAAGAAACTACCGCTAGGTGCCGGCGCCATGAGAGCTGATGGAAATGTTGTCACAAAAAAAGTGCTTATTACATGGAACGTAGGTTATATAATCGTTAAAAAATACTATAGAGTTATTGTCACCCGAATTACAATTTCCCCGAAGTAAACGATACAAACACGTTAGATTGTATATAAATTAATTAATAATTTTAACTTTCTATTGGTTAATTAAAATAACTTATTCAATTAAAAAGTGTAAACAACATTAAAAGACTAATTTATCTATACAACTATTATAAAGAGACAAAAAAAAGTTTCTTTAATTGTTTGTATGTTTGTTTGGATAAACTAAAAATACGCTGAACCGATTTAGATGCAATTTGGTAGGTATGAACATAGTTTGAGCCCCTGGGAAGGACATAATGCTGTTTTTATCCCGGGAATCATCCGCGAAGGAAGTGAAAAGGGGATGAAAGTATTTATGGGGAAACAATCATTTCTCAAGTAAGAGATATAAAAGTCATCATAGCTGCATATACTCGTATGTACATATATATACTAATATATAGGTATAGTATATCTATTCCATACTAACCGTTAAATACCTTTAACGTTTAATATTTTGACATTTACCTACCTACCTAGTTTAATATAAATATCTTACAAAGGGAATGTGATTTCTAATGTGGTTATGATGGGATAACAGTGAGTTGCCAAGATACATTAAATTTCTATAAAAATAAATATAAACCGTTATATTTTACAAATATACATGATTAAATCTGTTTATCTAATATAAATCATTATAAGTGACTCTTTATTATAAAGCCATGTTTTGCGTATGCATCATGTGAAATATAATATTTTAGTACTTAATAGAAAAAAATATAATAGTATCGTATCTAGTTATAAAATATGTAATAGTAATCAAGTTTAATGCTACATGAAGCCTCACAAGTCTTAACAATACAAAAGTTCTCATTCGAGTAGAAACAAGTGGTTTTCAATGAAACATTTTATATTATTATCTTATCTGCACCCACGGCCCGTTTAATTATAAGTAGAACTCACCTGAGCCAACTAATATATGCACTTGTGTAAATTCTACAAAACTATCATACTCCAAGTAGGTCATTAATTCGCTAAATTTCTTTTTATTACCATATTTACGTCAATGACGGCGACGATTATAATAAATGCCTATTCGCTTTCTTTGTAAATAATATTTTATTTGTTCTATACTATGATGTTTTAATTTGTTGACAAAAGCTATAACCCACTTAATCAATACATAACAAGGAAGGAAGGAAGGTTGTTGCGTAACAAAACACCAAAAACCTAACCTGAAAAATAATTGGTATTTTTGTTTACGTGAGTTCTCGAAAACAGTCTTAAAAATCTTTTATAAGGTATATGCTAACGAATTAGGACGAATCTATTTCAATTCTCTTGAAAAATTGTTATAAAAACAAGTATATATTGAAATATAATAATAAAATTAGGCAATCCAAATGCAATACACAATTTTTGGTATAACATAAAGACGTCAGATGAACTAATTTTTATAATAAGACGTTTGTTTATCAGGCAAATTATGAATGAAATTATGCATGTTGGATTTACCTTTGTTTGAAGTTAAACAATACATAATTAAACATATTTCTTTTTTTTTATTATTTCAATTTATAATATATTCATAGTGTAGATTATATTACTATTATAAAAAAATATTAGTATCTCTATTATTCTGGAAGGTAAATGAATGAAGCCAACTACACTCAGCTACTAAATCATCAACTTGTAGGTCATACTTTGTTCATAGACGAGTGAACGGTTGAAGGTTTACGTGTTTCGTCTTATTTTGCACCTTTTTGTCTGTGCAACCAATGACATTGGCTTAAATTTTAAATTACTGATCGTTTAAGTTTTGTTTTGAAATCGCACGGATGCGTTCTGACGTAAATAACCATCTAAATCACACGAGAGCACGGCGAGTTACTAAATGTATCGGGAAGCTTTAAAATAGAACTGGGTGCGTGGCCGGTTCCGAGCGAGTGTATAACTTGTTCAGATAACGTTTATCACTGTAGTCATGCAATAAGAAACGTAATAAGCGTCGTGTCGGTACGTTTCCACGACAGATTAGATTTAAGATTGAATTAATTCGATAAACTCTGACTTCTTACAGCTATACTAGAGATGAAAGCAGAGATTTACGCAAATGATAGGGCGGGTGTGGTCAGCTGAACGTAACGCACGCACCCAGGCAGTCGTTCACAACAAATGGTATCGATTTTGCCCGCCCGGAGCGAATCTCGTACGAGAACAGGTGTTTAGAAATTCAGTTACATTTGGTAACCTAATAGCCAAACGTAAAAATATTTACACTCTTAATAATTATATCGTTACTAATACTCATGTATGATTTTATATTAAAAAATTCCCTTAATACTAACCTTGATTCCAGAACGTCCCTGTTGCTTCAGCAGCACGTTTTCGGGCTTCATATCGCAATGAATAATTCGGTTTTTGTTGAGTGCGTGAAGACACTGCAAAAGGCTGTGCGAAAATTTGCGAACCAACTGCAAGGAGAACCCTTGGAACTTGTTCTTCTTTATCAGCTCGTATAAGTTGATCGAGAGCAGCTCGAAGGTGATGCATGTATGATTTCTGAATGTAAACGAATCAAACATATGTATTACATTCATGGTATTATCCTTGTCCTGTTCGCGGAGATGCTCTAATATGCGAATCTCCTCTTGTGCCTGTCTGTGGAACCGTTTCTCGTTCCGCACCATTTTCAGCGCGACGTTTTCGCGCTTCTTGTGATCGTATGCCTTTACTACCTGGCCAAAGCTTCCCTTGCCTATCACTTTAAGCACCTCATACCGATACGCTATGTGATCGTGTGGTATGTGTATGTAAGAACCTTGTTCGTTGTCATACTCGCAATTGTTCGGAAAACCAACGAGACCAGGTCGTTTCTTCGCGTTCGCGCCTATAAAGTACACTTGGGGGTAATCAAATATCTCACGGTGTTCGTAAGGAGTGAGCTTGTTCATGTAGAGCTTCATGACTTGCTCAGGACTGGCGGCCGCCGCCGGTGGACGCTTGTCGGGGGGCTGTGCGTTGGTGGCCGGCGGTGCTGGCGGGCCAGGCTCCAGGGGCGGCAGTGCCCCGTCCCGGAGCAACGCGCGCCCGAACGCGTGCGCGCTCCCTAGAGGCATATCGCCGGTCATGGCCGAACGGCCGCCGCCACCTCCGCGCACCTCGCTCGCCGTGGCCGAACCGACCCACGCTCGCTCGTACACACTGCACCTCACTGCACTTGCACTGTTAGACGGAGCCACCCTTGGGCACAGCACGACATTTCACATATACCGCGACGAGAAAGAACCACGCTTCCACTTATGCGGACACATTCCGTCTCGGACACGATGCTATACAGGACCGTCACAGATGATACCGTGCGACGCGAACGTGAAACGCAAACAAAGACCCCCTTCCTTGCGGGTCGACCCGACGACAGGACCAGAGAGAAAATAGAAACTGGTCGCTAAAGTCATTGAACCGTTCGTCTGCGAAGAGCGTGCGAGTGCGAGTGAGAAAGGACACGTTTCATTGGTGTTACTGTCTATTCCTAGAGGGCGCTTTAAGTTTTCGTTCTAAAACATGTTCATTTTGCAAGACCTAAAGATTGTATGTTATATTTAAAAAAATTGTTGCTGGTGTTACTATATAATAAAATTAGATATTATTTTTGTCATTATATATGATTTATATATAATGACATACAAAAATGCATAATACGTTTTTTTAGGATTAACATTTTAGAAAATTTATTTCGATATATTAATTACATTTCCTTGGAGTGAATTTAAATTACTCATTTAAATCCTAAGTAATAAAATATATTTTGTATAATAGTACTTATCACATTAGATATTTGTCTCGTTTAAATAATAATTCGACTAGGCAGCGGTAGATGTGAACATATTGCAAATATCCATGACGCATTTATTATTTAGTATATAATGAATAAGAAAATATAGTTGCATTGAATAACTTGAATAAATTATGCGTACAATAATTCAAAGCACATTTTACAAAAATACAAAAATTATGACAAGTTTAATTAATACCTAATTAAAAATATTTAATTTTAATTAAATATATTGGAATGAAATAAGCTATTCCACGAGCATTTTTCTCTCATTTATATTCTTTTATTATTTTTTTCGCCTCTTTAAGTCTTTTATTGCTTTAATTTTATAGTTTACACAAGAGATATATCTCACTCAAGTTTTTAAACTCAAAATCATCGGAAAATACAAGAGTTTTTATATTGTTTTTTTTATTTAGGTCTTACAATATACTTTTATAGTCTATGGTAAAAATGTGAAGTGTCGCCATCTGTTGAAGACTACTTGAGCCAAGAATAGTGCATCTTCCATCCAATCTAGACGTCTTTTTTCACTCCGTTGTTTTCTGTCATTTATACAATCGTAACTATGTGTTAATTTTAATTTTATTTTCAAGACAAACTATGTTCAGAGACTATTGTGTTACGAATCAGTGTTTTTAAAAGCAATAAGTATAAATTGTGGTGTTATTAATATGTAAGTGCATCGTATACTTATATGATTAATCACGGTGATTTCTTTTTTGTCATTTTCTTACTGCTATAAGTTCGTCCTCAACATTTAATCTCGATTTAAGTATCTGGATATTAAATTATATTTTTTTGAGTACAAATTCATTGATGGCTTTGTGTAGTGTAAGTGAAGTAGGGATCAATTATTCTTTTCGAAGTACATACGTCGTTATATTTTTTACTTTCGATTCCACCGAAATTATATTGATATATTAATCGCAAGAATAATCCAATACGTATAGTAAGTATATAAACTTATAGTAATTAAATGCGTTGTAATGGCATGAGGTGCTATTATATTTTCTTGTCATGGTACTTATAGTTCCATGTAAGTATATAAACGGATTTATTGTTTGGACTGCAGCCAGTGCATTAATACAAGTCAGTTTAATACTGAAACGAGTTATAGATTAAACTCTAGTAAAGTTTTTTTTATTGTTATTGTAAAGCTGACTCATTCAGTGGTGCAGAGCAATATAAAGTTATGGTGCTTTATATTAGTCATCAAAGAGTACCTTAAGGTTATATAAGCAAACAAGTTTTATGGGCAACATATTATAGACTGAAATGATTATAAACATTCTTGTTCTGTACTAAGGGTATAAGCTTATAGTTGTATAAAAGGTTATCTGTACACTGAATTAAAAAAAAAACATTTATAACACCTCACTTTAACACAAATAAAGACTAATAAATATTTTTTATTCTAAATATGTTGATTTAAAGAATTAAGCATCTTTTTAAATACACCATTTTATATAAAAATATAAATCATAGTTCATATAAATAACTATTAAAAGCAATGATATTCTTATGAGAAGTAGATACTAGCTATATTATTTTACTAAGTATATTAATATTTCAACATTTGAAAAAAAATAGAAAAAAATATTATAAATTATGTAATTTAATACTTTTTAACCCCAAACATTTTAAAGTATATGTTACTTTTTATAACTATATTGATATTTGATAACATTGTTGTTTCGGACGACCAGAACCAGGGTATGTATAGTACCCGGAGGTCGACCTGGGACAATCTCCCAGACGTTCTTGGCGTACACGGCAGTATGTCCGTTCGCTGGTAATGTACGCCACCACGCACCCCTGAATGCGTAGCTTGGGTCCCGATCCACTAGGGTTTCTTCGTTGACAGGAGACTATACTTAGAGGCGATGAAATAAAAACACAATTTTTTCCTTTTTTCTCTCTTGGTTTCGGTTCTTCCTTTTCCTTTTAGTTGTTGCCTCTTCGGTGGCTGTCTTGCGACTGACTCGAATCGAGAAATGGCTCGCCTTTTATTTGGCCCGTTAATACCTTACAGAGAGCCGCGTACTTTGAGCTCATTTTTCGAATAAAATTTCCCTAAACCGAAACCTTGAGAGTCCTTTTATTTTATGTTTTCAGTAAAACACCTTACACATATTTATTTATTTACATGCCTTACATACTATTATACAATATTAAAACATAATATTCAATATATAATAATTAATTAAAAAAGTCTTAAAACAAAAATATCTAAATTTCTAGGTTGCTACATTTTTACTATACATTTTCCCTTATAACTTTTGAACGGATAGTCCTATCGACCTAATTCTTGTTTTATTATAAGTTTTATAATAAAATCTATTATTTAAAACATAAACTATTATGCTATTGCAAGAAACAAAAAATCTCATTTTCAAGTTACGTAATTATATGCTAACATTTTACTTACGTACCTATTCCTTTCAAATTAATGTTAAATAGTCTTATATGATTCAAATAAGCAAAAAATACTCTAAACTAACCTTATTACACTAATTAGAACTTAATTTAACATAATAAATCTAATAAGAATGAGATTTCATATTTACAACAATTATTCATAATACGCTAAAATGACATTGTCCCTATATTAATACACACGTTACTCGAAGATAAGTTTTCCGTCGCCGACATTCTCCCCCTCGTGCTTTGCACCAACTCCTGGACTCGGCGACGCTCCCGGCACCAACAGCACCACTCTCGAACTGGGCCTCCGTAGGACACCTCCTCTGGTCTCGACGTCGACGACTCTGGTCCGCCCGTCTGGTCCAGGATACACATGCAGGATTCTTCCGCGTGGCCAGATGCATCTTGGTAGGCTGTGATCGACGATCAGTACGATGTCTCCGACTTGCAAATCTGTGGCGCTGACTCTTCCTTTGGTTTTCCTTGGTAGTAGAGTGGGCAAATACTCTCTCAGCCAACGTTGCCAGAAGTGATCGGCAAGTCGCTGCGTAGCCTTCCAGGTGTGTCTGCCCACAAGCTCGTTGTCCTCGAAGCTGCCGATTCTTGCTGCGCCACATGATCGCCCGATGAGAAAGTGGTTCGGTGTAAGTGCTTCTTCTTCAGGGTTCTCGGAGAGGTGGGTGAGGGGCCGAGAGTTGACTATGTGCTCGGCCTCTAACAGGAGGGTATGAAGTACCTCCTCTCGTGGTTGCCTTTCGTTGAGCGTGGCGTCCAGTGCGGTTTTAATGGATCGCACCAGACGCTCCCATGCACCTCCCATGTTTGGTGCACCAGGAGGTATGAACTTCCACTGCACACCGATCTTCTCCGCTTCCGAGATAAGGTCTTCTTGCTTCATGGTGTCTAGTGCTTCTTTGAGTTCTTTGTTGGCGCCAACGAAGTTAGTGCCATTGTCGGTGTAGATTATCTTTGGCATTCCCCTTCTCGCGGCGAATCGTCGTAGTGCCATGATCATGCTGTCAGTGGAGAGTGAAGGAGTGAGCTCAATGTGTACAGCTCGTGTTGTTAAGCATGTGAATAGAGCACCCCATCTCTTCTCATGGCGTCTTGCTACGGTGATCGTCATAGGGCCGAAGTAATCTATTCCCGTGCACGTAAATGGAGGGTTTCCGTGCATCAGCCTCTCAGCAGGTAAGTTGCCCACTGGTAGTTCTTGAGGTCTTGCCTTTCTTGTTTTGCACCACTGGCATTGATGTTGAATGGTCTTGATCGCTGACCTCAGTCCTAGCACCCAGAAGCGTTGTCTTACTTCGTTCATTACGGTCGCGTGATTCCCGTGATTGAAGCGGCAGTGAAATTCTTCTATGATGAGAAGTGTTGTCTTGTCCTTGCTGTCGAGTACGATGGGTCGTTTGTAGTCTCTGGTAACCCCTCGTATCGCGTCGATTCTTCCTTTCAGTCGCAGGAGACCTTCTTCTAGCACTACGTCGAGCCTTTTCAACTTGCTGCTGCCCTCTAATTGTTTTCCTTGCTGTAGGCACCTGATGTCCTCTTTGAAGCATTTCTCTTGACTTCTTCTTAACAACAGCGTTTCAGCTTGCTCTAGTAGACTTGTTTCCAATGGTATGTATTTCCTTTCTGACGTTTTTGAAGACAGATGTCGCTTCTCAACAATTTTCTTATTCCTTTTTGTAGTTTTCCAGGTAGGATCTTCTTTGCTGGCGTGGACCTTTTCCTTTCTTCTGCAGAGTTGTATGAACTGCAGTACTCTTGCTGTAGCTCGCCAAAGTCTTTTCCACGACGAGAACTTTTCGGGATCTGGTGATGGATAGGAGCTGCCTGCAGTCGCTACGATGTCCGCTGCCTTTT